AAAGTTTCAATAGGAAACCTAAACATTGTATAAAACTAATTTAACAGATTAATATCCCGTGTAGTGGCGGGCAAGAATACTCACTACCCTATATCTTCACGTGTTTCCTATGAGGCAACAGAGGCAAACTAAGGCAGAAGATGGGCAGCAGCATCTTTCTGATAAACAACAAAAACTATAATAAAAATAAAAAACAACGGTTGCCAAACCGCTCGCCAAGCGTGACAAATATGGCAATATATCCTCCTTGGTGAGAGTGACGAAGAGACGGCCCCCGTCGTCGGCAGCCCAACTATTCCTGGAGCTGGAATAGTGGGGCCGGGTGACGAGATGATCCTGGAGCTGGAAGAAGCGATAGACAAGTTGCGCTGGAATATTAGACAATTATCCGAGGTCCGAAGATAGGGGGGAGGATACGGTAGTCCTCGAATTCGGCAACATGTTCTATCACCGGGAGGGCGACCATCTGTCCGCAGCAGGTATCGGATTTATCGTCCACAAGTCCTTTGTTAACAAGTAACAACGTTGTAAAGATTAGGAGTGTGTCGACGAGGGCTGCGTACCTTATACTCAGAATCACCAAAGGTTATTCGCTGAAGGTCATATAGGTTTTCGCGCCAACTTCGGCACTTCCGGATGAGGAGGTGTAGGAAATGAACTTAAACCATGCATTCCCCAAAACCCAATATACGCTGTTTATGGGAGACTTCAACGCAAAACTAAGCACGAGAGAAAACGGTGAGCTGAAGGTAGGTAAATTTGGAGGAGGGCAACATACCCCAAGTAACTTGCCGACTTCACGAAGAAAGAGGTTTCTCTTTATGATTAACTCTTTCTTCAAGAAGCGGTCTCACAGAAAGTGGACCTGGTCGAGAGCCGACGACTAAACAAAAAACAAGATTTGACTTTATTATGACGACCAGACGGCAACTGTTCAGTGATGACGCAGTTATCGCGAGGGATAAAACTGGCAGCGTTCAGCGAATGGTGAGAGGCACACTGAACCTAAACGATAATCTGTCCATGCGTTTCGAGCAAAGTTCTGCAAGACCCGCCGCAGAAGAACACAAAAACTCTCCGATTACTCTTAATCTCATGACTGTTAGACCGGAAATGAAGCTGCAGTCTTCAGCAGATTTGACAGCATACAGGCAACTGAACAGACAGATCTCCAAATGCATGCGGCGGGCCTTACCCAACTTCAATACAACTAGTATTGAAGAAACGGTAAAGCGAAACTAGGGCTTTAAATGAGATATGTCTGTCAGAAAGTGCCAACTGTGGACGCTAAAGACAGAATGTAGCAGAATTGTTTCCGGGGCACCAGATATTATGAGTGAGATAAAGAGGTGATATGAGCAGCTGTACACATCATCGTTGGAGACACACGCAAGCGTGAGTCCGATAGTCCGCGTAGTGAATGATCCTAGAACAAAACTTATAAGTACTCGTAATTGATAATTATCCGACATTATTCCGATGACATTGGCCGACTAACGTCAGTCTGTGCGATATTAGAATGGCTCTCCAGCAGCTTAAAACGGCAAGTCCCTGGGCGAAAATGGAATTACAGCAGATCTTCCGATAGCGGGTGGAAAACCGGTACTTGATGTCCTTCAGAAGCTCTTTTATTCCATCCTCCATGGTGGCACTACTCCATAGAGGTGGAGCAGGACCAATTTTCCTTCTATGCCGCGTCTACGTGCTATTTTCGAGAGTCCTTACGAATCATTTCGCATGCAGACTCGACGACTTCTAGCTTCCCGAACAAGCCGGTTTCCGAAAAGGCTTTAGTACCATAGTCTACATACATACTCTACAGCAAATTGATATATATAGTAAGTAGTAATATAACATATGCAGAAGACCGAGGAGTACAATCTGTCAATAGAAAATCTGTCAAAAGAGGAATACAATGAAATTCAATTGGTTTTTCAATGTTTGTTTATCAGAATGGTTTGCGTAATTTTCAAATAATGAATCTAATGCCTTTAAAGGAAAATGTGAACGATATTTTTCGAATAGTTTGTTGTTGAACAATTGGAAAATTTTTAATTTGAAAATTTCAGAATATCGGCCATTGATTTCTGAAGATATGTTATCAATTATTTCAACAAAAAGTCGTTTGTGTTCTGTCTGAGCACAGCGCACATTGCGTCTCAACCGAGGAGCAGAGTTATTTTGCAATGTGTTTTTATAAATGTGATCAAAATCTAACTGAAATTCAGAACGTAACCATCATGTCTGAAACTCATTTATTTTATTACTGCAATAACCGACATCAACTTGTCATTTTTGTAAAATATTGTACAAGCAGTCGGTTTTTTTCAAATACCCGGTGGAAAATTAAAAGAAAAAAATTGAAATTAAATGAACTCAATGTGTTTTTATAATTCTCGGTGGCCAAGATCGTATCGCTGTCCCAGTTCTGCGGATTGTCGCACATATCAGAAAACAAATTAATCAGATTATCTTTTTGTTTGAATACTATATTCACAATTCGTGACGTATACGTCCAACGAGTTGCGGAGGCATTAGGCATTTTTTGCTGCAATGTGCATGATGCACAAAAAGACGACCGTTTTGTGCTGTTATTAAAAAATTAAATAAAGCCTGAAGGGCCGAAAAAGTGCCGACTTCCCCAATCCTGTTACAAGATTTAGATGAAACTAATGCCAAAATGTGTGCATTACACCAAATATACATGGCTTGGCGACAAACATCTTTAACTTTTTGCTGCTCTCCATTTCTGACACCGGACGCGACACTTGCACCGTCATAGATTTGCACAATTACTAGTTTTGTGGTGCAGTCATGTTTGTTTCATAATTCCAAAATGATATTACAAAGTGCGTCTGTTGTGCGAATTTCAGACGCATCTACCCTTAAAAATATCCTATCTTACCCAAAAAAAAACGGTCATGAATTTCGGAGAATCAGACACAAATGCTATCTGTGACTAACATCGGGAGTTTCGTTAATAATAATTGAAACGAATTTTGACAATTTTACTTCGTACTCGAGGCGAGAGACATCAGCGACAGAATGAATAATGTCATTTTGGATTGTACTAGATAAATAACTTTGCCGTTTGTCGCTTGTTGATGCTGCATATGCTTTTCTCACAATAGATCGTACTTCGAAAGAAGCGATACGAGTTCTAAAAAAATGCCTCTATTTAATGAAGTTTTCGACTCATCGTGGCCTCTGAAAGGAAGTTCTTGTTGTGCTAAATGGCAAACAATATCGACTAATCTTCGAAAAACACTACGGTTGTGATCAACACGCATGTTGTGTTTTGTAATTTCCTCGGATCACTGGCTCAATCCGATTTTTTCAAAATTACTAAACGAAATTAACACATTCATGGGTTTATATATTGTTTGCCCGCGATGAACTACTACTTATCCGATTTTAACCGAATTTGCACACCGTGTGCAGTTTGGTCCAACTTGAGAGATAGGATAGTTTTTTTGTCCATAAGTGACCCACAATTTTTTTCGCGAATTCAAGGATTTTTAATAGGACATGACAAAGGGTCGTCGAAAAGGGCAGAACAACGTCTGCCACATTCTGTGAAAATTTCAACTGACTACCTAAATAAGATCATAAGATACAGCCCGCTGACGGACGGCCGGACAGCGGAGGTTTATTGTGTGTGATAGTTTATTGTGTAAAATTTTAGGATATCAATATTTTGTAATGTTCGGTTGGCCGTTGGCGTTGGCCGAGACGCGTAGAAGAAAAACATCAATAATAATCATCATCATTAATAAATAAATCTCTAAAAAGATTTCGCTCTGTTATTCTTCAATCACCTTTTTTTTAATTTTTTGTTGTAGTTTGGTAACGTTTATTTGTACGTAGAATGTAGGATATAAATAAATCAAATAAGGAGTGAAAATTATCCTAAAACGAAAACCTCTTTACTTTTACACGTTAGTACGTTAAAACGTACTTTGGAATCTTGCGGAAGGTATGGATTGTATCACGAATTTAAGGGGATACCTTGAAAATAAATCGTAGTTTTGGGGCATGGCTTATTCCTTTGTCAGTGAAGCTAACGGACGAGTGAGGGAGTATCTGAAAGTGATGCAATGACTCCATAATACGCAAATTATGAGATAGCTATACCGAGCACACACTAGAATAAAAACTAAATAGGCACCAAACAACATTTTTATTTTTTTTATCCAAACTACGTTATGGATTAAAAAAATGGTTTATGAGAACCTAGATATGACTATTAACTATGCCTTAAAAATAATTCCATGAACTTATTCGTAAAATTATTGTGGTGTCATGGAGAAACGTAACTAATTAGAGTCTACTTTGCAATTTTTTTCTGTCGAGAATATTACATGATATCGTGTTTTCCTTTTATGCAATCCAAGGTCGTATAGTCAAAAATCATATACCAAAATTTTCGTTCGTAATCTATAATACTTAAAAAAATATGTGAAATAGAAAAACCACCAAATTTTCGAGTTATCACCTTAACGAAATTTGGTGGATAGATGCGATAGAATATGCAAAGTAATGGATCATCTCTTCGCAGAGCCAGTGAGTCAAGCCGAACCGAGCCAAATGAGTTTTGTATAAATCCGTATAGCAACTCCCGAATACAAATCCAAGGATATGATATCCAAAGAACCTCTAAAAATTAGAATCGCCAGTTTACAAAGTAATACTAATGTTATGCACCTAAAGTATGTGTCTGATTTAGTAGGAAAGGATTACGTTCTTCCAGAACACCGGCGTATAGTAGCAATGCTGTTGCGTTTTGTATGGTGAGTGAAGAGAACTGGAGACCCCTTTCATGTGTAACCAGGGATTATAAAAAGAAGATAGAGGTGCCGCGATATAAAATTAAAACCCAAGTGATTCAATTTTAACAAATTTCACGCGGACAAAGTCTCGGGGAACAGCTAATTCTAAAATAAAAGTAGTCTAAGTTAGGTACTCCTTATAACATCAGCTATCTGCCAGTAAAAGTCCCGTCAAAATCGGCCCAACCGTTTAGGAGATGAGCCTGAACAAACAGACAAAAATTGTAAAACTTGTGTTTTTGTTAAAGTACCGTATATACTTTCATATGCATTTAGTTAAAAGCTGTCATTTTGACATTAAAAAAGACACTTCAATATTATTTATTTGTACAGAAAAGATGCGTATTAAACATACTGCATGAAATGCAAATAATGTATTGTAATCAAATACTATACTTGTGTTATTAATTGTATTGATAAAATGTTTTTGAATAAAATAAACAACAGAAATTATAAAAGAAAATAATATACTTAAAACTCTTTGTCATTAATAATGATACATGCATTTTTTTCACAAAGAACTACGCAAACCTGCAACTTACAACGTATTAATTTATCGCTACGAGCATTGTACCTCAGCGGTTAAAATAACAATTACCTATTTCAGACGTTCCGGCTTCCGGCACTGGAGACTGAGTGCACGGTAATTTTCAAAGAAGGCAAATGTAAAAATACTGGAGGCAGGCAGCCCTATCGCATGTTTACGTACCGCGCGGCTGTAGGCATTTATTTCAAAGATACGGCCGAGTTACAATAGTGTATAAATAATATTTACCTTGCTGAGTGTTATGTTAGCGTCTTGTCGCTTATGTAATGTGTAAATCAAAACAAGCGCTCTTGGTAGAGCTTCCACTACTTACAATGTCAAGCTATGTTTTACCAGCTTATTACGCCTTAATGCTATACCATGTGTAAGTAACTAAATGCAAGATAAGAAAAAAGAAACACTTTTGTAATAATGTCTGTATAATGTTATAGTAGTATTTTTCATGAAGTTTACGACGCTTGATTTACCTTTTGTTAAAAATATTTTAAGGTCACTAATAAGGAAATCGCCGTTTGTATAAAAGTGCACAAAACGAGTATACAGCCCATGTGATGGTAATAGTTGTTATTGCCCAAAGTCATCTAAATCTTTCTCGATTCCAAAAAACAGATGCGGTACTAAAAGAGGCTTACGGTTCTCTGACAGATATAAACACAGCAGTATTAAGCCATTGTTTTTCGCGTATATTCCGTGCGAGCGTTTATACATTAATTCCATTTAAAAAAGTAAATGCAAAAAATACAGATATTAAAAACTGAATTACCTGTTAAATGATTGCCTGTGAACTCGAAGTCATCATCTTGGTCCCAATGCTTTAGCGATAAGGTGCCGAGGGGAGTGGCGTTGGCAAACTCCAAATTAGCAAAATGCCAATCCAGTATCTGGCGGTCGCGCACCGACAGGTACACCGAACTTATGGAAAAAAACAAACATTTTAAAACTTTATTTTACGTACAAAGTTTAAGGAATATTAAATAAAAGTCATAAACTCAAAGGTATTACTACTTCGTACGGATATGTTCCATAAATTATTAAGATAAAATATGCAGTAATTTTTTTTATAGAAGAGGGGGCAAACGAGCATGCGGCTCACTTGATGTTAAGTGACTACCGCCGCCCATGATCAACCGCAACACCAGGGGAATTGCAGGTGCGTTGCCGGCCCTTTAGAAAGGAGTAAGCTCTTTTCTTGAAGGTCCCCAGGTCGTATCGGTCCGAAAAAATCGCCGGTGGTAAACCATTCCAAAGAGAGGTTGTACGCGGAAGAAAATTCCTTTTGTAACGTACAGTGGTGGACCGCCAAGCATCCAGATGGTGTGGATGGTATCGGGACGTTTGCCGCGTAGTGCGTTCACGAAATTTGGCGGCTGGGATTAATCCGAACAATTCCTCAGAGCACTCTCCATAGTATATGCGAAAGAAAATGCAAAGAGATGCAACATCTCTTCGTAGTGCCAGTGAATCGAGCCGATCGGAAAGCACTCGGTCGTCGACGATTCGAGCCGCTCTGCGCTGGATGCGGTCAAGTGGAAGGAGCTGGTACTGGGGAGCCCCAGCCCAGAGATGGGAACAGTATTCCATGTGCGCCTTGTAAAGTCGCAGGCGGTGTGCCGGCATGAAATACTGTCCCGCTTTGCTGAGCACGCCAAGCTTTTTAATTTGAAGGAATACTTCGTAATTTACAATTCCAAATATTATTTTAAAATGGAATAAGAATAAATAGAATGGAATAGAATGAAATAAAATTAAAAAAGGCCTTGTAGTTCTGGAAATAAGCAATGACCTTAAATTTTTACAGTACGCGAACATACATAATATGGTCCCTAATTATATTGTGAATTGAATTTTATTTGCTGTCTTCCTCGCACAACTTCCTTGTGGAATCAACTACCACCAGAGATTTTTCCGGACCGATACGACTTAGGGACCTTCAAGAAAAGAGCCTATTCCTTTTTAAAAGGTCGGCAACGCATCCGCAATCGCCCTGGTGTTGCAGCTGTTCAGGGCGGCGGTAATCATTTACCATCAGGTGAGTGGTATGCTCGTTAGCCCCCCCTCCTATAAAAAAAATGTGTGAGTACCTCAGAACTCTTTTGTAGGTGAACCGATTTTGATAATTCTTTTATTTAAAAGCTGGTGCTTCTCGTGTGGTCTGATATAAATTTGATCAAGTTTTGATCAGTAGTTTGTGAGTTATCCTTAATGATGCGTATTTAATTTACTTCAAGTCTGTTGTACAAATTTTAAATTTTACCACTTTCATAAGCATAACCACGCCTCTATTTTACTACGTGTGTAAGGTTATTTTAACTAATATTAAATCTCTTTTATACAATAAGGATAGGTTAGACGGTGTACTCTTAACGGTAAATAGATGCTGTATCCCAAAGACAATATTAAGTCTTTCCGCGATAAAGTATCAAAAAGTAGATGCGTTGTGTATTCTAAGAATCGTGGTCCATAGTTACACATTATGAAATCTGTGTCGTGCGAAGTCGTGAGTTCATATCCTTGTTTAGACTACTGTAGTGAACGACTCCTAGTGCAAGCATTTTAAGATTAGGAGCTGTTAATAAAAGCGTTAGTAGTGTTAACAGCACGGTATGTACGAATTTAAGAATTTTACGTGGTAGAGCCGCGCTGCATCTTTATTATGGTTTAAGCCCGAATGCAACTGCTCGACCGGGGAGGGCTCGAAGGACTATGCTCTCACAGAATACTAGCGTAAAATAGCAGTTTAATGTTGCTGTGTTCCGTATGCTGAGTGTAGAGAACCGGTGACATTCTTTACTAAATATGAGGCATTCCGTTTTAGTTCTCAGAGGCGGCATAGCATCTACATTTTCATTTTTAATATAGAATAAATGTAGATGTCTGTGAACCACAGCATGCACTTACCATCAAGTGGACTGTGTGCTCGTTTGTCACCCTTTTTCTTTTTCACATTCTATTAAAAAAAAACCGCTTTAATAGGTCAGAATCGTATTTCAATACCATTTTAACTTATTATTCATAAGTAAGTAAAGGCCAAAACTAGGAGCTACGTTCAGAACGTGCACGTATATCGTATATCTAGTTACCCTGCCACTAAAAATTTTTCTATTTATGTATTTTTGAAGGTATAAATACCATATCAATCCAATCATAAAAAAACTTAAATTCTATACATGAATCACTAATGTGCATATATGCAATGCAATATCTGAGATGGGGTTATGTATTTAATTTATTTAAAATTTCATATACACGCGTAGTATAAGTGGACTTAATGCCTGAGGCTTTTCTACCAGTCTAGCTTGGAATTGATAAAGAGATTGATTGCAGTAAAAAAACAATAAATTGATATAAGAATACAAAAGTAAAATAAATATAATTTTCTTAAGAGTAATCACAGAGCACATACATGAGTATCAGGTTATGTAGAATACATATTAAAGCAGAATATTGCAATATACAAAAAAATACCTCGGCGGATTGGACTCTAGCTGCGTTAATTTATCCTCGATGGTATTGTTCTGCGCGACCAGTGACTCGTATTCATTACAGAGCAGGTTCATTTCTCGGTTAAGACGACGCAGATTGAACTCCTGCAAGATTCCCGCCTCGCCGGAAGTGCCCTTGTCTCTCTCCACTAGCAATGACTCTTTCTCTGCTTTCATAGATTTTAACAATTCTTGAACGTCCGTCATTCTGAAATAATTAATAATGATGAAACTCAATAATTATAATTATGTATTCTTCAATAAAATGTTTGTGTTAACATCGCCAAATATCACAATTTTGCATAATATCCATTAGAGCCTAAAACCCTGTAACTCTATGATAAGAACTAAAATGTAATAATTAAATAAATGGCGTGTAGTGGTAGCGTGGCATACGAGAACACACTACTCCAGAGGTTCCCAAACTTTTTCAGTTTGCGGCACACTTACAGGTCTAGTATTTTGTCTCAGCGCCCTATCTAGTCGAAATGGTACAATGATACCAGGTAGAGTTTTTAAAATTAGTAAATAAAATACAAAGGCTTCTTAGTCAATACGACGTGTTAGCTTGGTGATCTCCACACATTTTTTGAAAGCTTGACACCGCTACTCTCATTTCTTGCTCCAAATTGATCTTTGAGCGACATTTGCGCTTTATTACAGCTATAGCTGAAATACTGGTTTATTTTGTACCCGCGGATACATAAATCAAGTTTGCAGAGAATGATAAACAGCAGCGTTTCACGGCGCCCCTCTTTTCTCTCACCGGCGCACCAGGGCGGCGCGGCGCACACTTTGGGAACCCCTGCACTAACCCATATTATCAAGGGGGTATCGTCGACAGATGGAAACTAGAACAGAACATGAGCAGTAGCATTTTTTTTAAAACATCACAAAATAATAGAAAACGAGGTTACTACCTGTCAAGCGTGGCGAATATGCAAACATCCCCCTATGATGGGAGGCCTATATTTAGCAGTGGAATTTAATATTCTGTAATGATAATAATTATGGGCGACCCCCCCCCCAATAGTTGGAGTGACGACCTGGTAAGACTTGCAGTAAGTCGATGGATGCAGGAGGCTCAGGACCGTGCTTTGTGGCATCATTGGAGGGTTCAGCAGTGGACTTATGAAGGGCTGTAATGATGATGATGATGATTAATGATGATCCTAACTAAATATGAATACGTAACAATATATATACAACACGTAACATAATTAACGCACTTTGAGAAAGTAGTTTGTTCAGAATCGTTTACTGAATCGATTTCTATCATTTATAATATAGGTAATTTTTTATCCCAAAAATAATTAAAACTACGTAAATTACAGTTACACTAAATCTGTACAGTCAAAACAAACTGAAATGGACCGTCACGTAAGGCAATAAGACTTTTAAGAGTGCAGTTTTATTTGTGTTATTACTAATTCTGTCATTCAATAAAAATAAAGAAAAATGAACTTTATTTCAAGCACGTTAGTCTTTGCGTTCGTGGATTTGTACTGTGACCACAACATTCTTCCGGAATTAGTAAAACTAATTTGATAAATAATCAGTGCATAAAAATGTTTAACTAAAAATTCAGTGTATGTATTATGGTTATAACATAATATACTAATTGGGGTGCCTGAGGGTGTGCGTTAATTACGTTACATATTGTATATACCCATAAATAATAAAATAATGTTCATAAAATAATCCCAATCTAGTCCTAGGACTATACTAACTTTAGCATTTAGAAATTTTCTTTATTATTCATATAGCTCCTTGAAAGTTGCTGCTTCAGGCCATAGAGTACGCTTGCATAAAATACCATAAATGCGTGAAATATTAGCATAATACTCCTGTAGTCTTATGATAAGCTGGATACCCCTTTTATTTGTAACAAGGCATTTCACCCTAGTCCTAAGCGCAAACATTGTAATTCTTAATGTTGTATAGACATGTCTACGGGCCTAAGCATCCAGGACGTAAAACTACCACCGTATGGACAGTGTACTTGTTTATCAACGTTAGTAAACATAAATTTCTTTGTTTAGTAGTATGTAGTTACTTTCTAAATACTTACTTATTTATATTCGCTTTAAGCTTTTCTTGTAAGGTTATCACAGCTTTCAAATGTTGTATCTATAAAATAGAATGATAAAAGAAAAAATTAGTATATATATAAATTATATATATAATAGTATTTGCCGGATTAGAGATTGCAGTACATACAATATGTTTTACAACTTTAACTCTGCCTCCCGCCACCGGGTGCAAATTTTACATCATATACGAGGTGGTATATTCCACATCTCTTAGGAGGTAATAAGGTGTTTCTGGCCTTTCTCATACTCGGCTTTCATTCATAGTAAGTCTACAAACGACTACAGAGCGGACTATGGAGTAATGCCACAGTCCCCTGATAGTAACTTTTTGAAAAGTACCTTGTAATCCGACAAATTACATATCACATATAAAATAATAAAAACTAAAAAAGTCATGTGATGTCCAATTAATACGTAAACAGTAAACAGCTAGGCCGCTACCATAGTCACATTTAAACTGAGACTGAGGACACCTCTCCCCGTGGTGTATACATAACGCGACTCTCGATGGTACCTACATGTTAAAGGTATATCGGATTACAAGGGAGAGGGGGCGGGTTAGCCAGGGGCCGGAACGTTAGCTACACGTACATAAAAAGTACATACATTATGATTTCTTATATTTACGCGAACACTACACATTGATTAAAACTACTTTTGAGGATTTTATCGCGTTTAATTTTAAATTTAATTATTTTTATTTTTAATTCCCGACAGACAATGTTCAACGTTCCGGGAAGTCTGCAGTTTGTGATCATATCCTAAACGGCCCCATCCATTTCATCAGATTTGATAGACCACAAATCCTCGCGAAAGAACACAGATTCCTATCAAGGATGATACGTGAGGCTATTGAAATTAAAAAACATCCTAATTTCAATAGAGAAGAAGGCTGGGTACTATCACCTGCTTGGGACCCTATAATCAATAAAATTAAAACTAAACCCAAGCATACCACTGCAAGACTTCACGACACAGTCAGTTCATTTTGCATAGATCGGACCATAAACAATAATTTGTAAACAAAAACAGTGAATCGAGCCGATCGGAAAGCACTCGGTCGTCGACGATTCGAGCCGCTCTGCGCTGGATGCGATCTAGTGGAAGGAGCTGGTATGGGGAGCTCCAGCCCAGAGATGGGAACAGTATTCCATGTGCGGCCGAACCTACACCTTGTACAGTTGCAGGCGGTGTGCCGGCATGTAATACTGTCCCACTCTGCTGGGCAAGCCAAGCTTTTTAGAAGCCAATTTGGCCTTCTCTTTCAAGTGACCACGAAACTGCACGTCACCCGATATGTCGACGCCGAGGATTCCGATACTGGCTGAGGCAACAAGGGGTCTTTTTGGCGGTAATCATTTTTATTATTATTAATTTAGTATTAATTTTTGTTTCTCTTTTTTCAAATAATTATGTTCTAGTGGTGATTTTTGAGATCAATATTGCATTGTACTACACCTGATTATTATAATTATGTAGGTAATCTTACAAAATAAACCTTTACAATACCACAGAAAAGTTATTTTTGTCATTTCACTGAACCAATTTTGGGATTTGTTCAAATCACTAGATTTCTTTAGTGGGATTTGTCAAATCACCAGATTCGCTTAGGGAAATGATAAAATCGTGTTGCTATTTTAACATCCCCCGTGATTTGATCAAATCCCTGTTTTTATCATATCCCTGCGACATATACACAATGTCCTACGTAGCAATGGTAAATCAGCATCTAAAATTGCAATCAACAATTGGTGTCTGCGGGGATTGAACCAGGATTGTTCGTGTTATGTAATATTTTGCTACCTATGCTGGTACCATGACCAAGCATATCCGTAACTCACTCCTCATATAAAAACTGTGATTTAATAAATTCATGCTACACAAATAACCTGTTTATGTTTAACATTCTTCTGTTGCAGCTTAATAACCCACTCAAGTGCTTGACCGAGGGAGACAGGGGTATCATTGTAATAGTTGAAGTCCACCTGATGGGACAAATACGACGTGGCATCTAGAAGTCGGTTAAATTCACGTTCCACCTTAAAATATAAAAAAACACATATATTAAAAATCTCTTCTATATACTCTTATCTTACTTATATAATCTTACTTAGATATACTCAAGAATAAATGCAGTAGAAATGCGGTCGCTAAGGAGTATGTTAGGGCTGAATCTGAGTGACAGGGTGAGAAACTGTGTGATAAAAGAAGAGTGTGGTTTGCAAGATGATGTGGTGACCAGGATTAAGAAAGGAATACTTCGCTGGTTTGGTCATGTAGAAAGAATGAATGAGGAAAGACTGACAAAGCAAATGTATTCGTGAATGGAAGAGTCGGAAAGGGACGTCCTAGGTGAAAGTTTGTCGACCAAATTGGTGATATATTAAAAATGGGCCAAATTAAGAGTACCCTTAACCGACGAGCATGTATGCGTAGCTATATGGATGTGGAAGAGGCGAGAGAGGTATGTCAGGATCGTGCTAAATGGAAGTCTGTAGTCTCTGCCTACCCCTCTGGGTGACAGGCGTGAGTGTTTATGTTATATTATGAAAGCAATCCTTCCACATCAATTGTGATAAGAATCATACATGATAGAGCCACGGTGCGGCTATATTATTATGGTTATGGCACGAATGGTTCGGCTCGACCGGTAAAGACCGCGCTCTCACAAAATACCAGCGTGAAATAACAGCTTAATGCTGCTATGTTTCATGTGGTGTGTGTAGAGAAACTGAGACCCTTTTCACTGTAAAAGAGGCGTTACATCTTAGTCCGGAGGGGTGACAACGCATTTGCATTTTGATTCTTTAATTTAGGATAAATGTAGATGTCTATGGCTCTATGAGTTACAGCATCCAGTCACTATCTGACTGACAGTGTACTCTTTTGTCACATTACATGTAATTCTATAAAAAAACGAACTGTGACAAGATCTGAGTGGCATTGCACCCAAAAATTATTATTGATATGTAATATCTTTCCTTCGCATTCCCACAATTTTGGGAGTGATTTCGTGAAAAGAGACGGAAGTGTGTGACAGTAACTTCAGCCAGGGAGCGCGCAATATTTGGTTCGACCAATGAGCGCACGCGGTGGTAATAAAGTGTGCTGTTATATTAACTAATTTATATGTGTAAACTATATTAATAAATGTATTTACTTTTGATAATAAATGTCTGAGAAATATGCAGATCATTGATAAAAAATGCAAGTGAGTAATAAATAAATAATTATTCGAATAATATTTCAGTATTTTAGTTATATAATTTTTGAAACTGATTTCTGTCGCTGTTCCGTAGATATTTTTAATTTTGATTAAAAAAAAAAACAAATAGTTTTATTTAGAATATATTGTTAATGTTGCTTATTACTAAGGTTAGGTCATATGTTACACATCATATGTGACTACTGTAAGCCTCGCTCGTTTTTTTTAAATTATAATATCAAAGTTACATTAAAAATATAACATTTAGATTAGATATGGTTGGTATTTTAGTGATAGTAAATGTTAAATTTTAAAGCCCAAAAGTGTTATGTGTGTTTTTTTAATTATCAATCAAGCAAATTTATTTTTAATTTTATTTATCAAACTTTTATTCTTTTAATTTATCTTCTGCAACCATATTATGTCACTTGTGAAATTAACTTACCATTTCGTCTTTATGTTTCGGTACTTGGTTTCCAGTTGCTTCATAAAGTGGGCACTTTTGTTTTATTTTGTGGAGTTCCATATTCATCTGAACTGATAATGTTGTAACCGGATTCCCGCCTAGACCTGTTACTACCATAGCTCCTGCAAGAAATTTAAATCATAAAAGTATACTTTCTTGCTTTAAAAATAAAAACATAACAAACAATGATTTTTGGAGAAAACAGCTTTACAATAAAGTATGTATATTCATGTATTGTATTATAAGTACATGTATTGCCGTTGTTGTTACGATAAATAGAATAATAATAAACCTCTCCTCTCACTAATGACTAGGCAATCGTCAATTCATTCCTAGGAGTCATAATCTTTTTTTAATAAAATTTGAAATTTACTGATATAGAGAGCTTGTATATTTTCTGGGACTTTGCTGCCAAAAGTTTGCATTCGATAACCATTTGTGTCGACAATATACAGAAAAAGGAGAATTCTAGTATTAATATATCACATATTAACGTGGTAGAGCCACGCTGCAGCTATATTATGGTATTAGCACGAATGGGTCGGGTCGTCCGCGATTAGTGATTAGTAACAAGGTAAGTACTTTCAAATAGGTGACTTATATTAATCATATATATATATATATATATATATATATACATATACATATTTAGCCTTATAATTCAAAAAACATAAACATATGCAGAAATACCTAGATCGGCCACATAAGGGCCTTTTCGGTATGTAACGATTCTGCCTCCAACTCTATCTCTTCCTTCTAATATTACAACTTCACAGCCAAAAGACTGCAACTGACGAGCAGCAGCTAAACCAGACACTCCTGTAAAAAAAGGTTAACCGAAAATTTATAAAATCTATAAAATAAATGCACACAAAAAAAGCATACACACACACACACACATATATATATATATATATATATATATATATATATATATGTGTGTGTGTGTGTGTGTGTGTGTGTGTGTGACAATGCCCTGATCAGTGTCATTGAGAGGGTCGAAAAAGCACTGGAGGATAAAGAAATACCTCTTTGTGCCTTTCTAGATATATTTAGGGCGCCTGCAACAGTAGCCCCACATCACCGCTGATTGGGAGCCTGACATCTAAAAATGTTGACCCCACAACCATCAGATGGGTGAGGTAGATGCTCTCAAACAGAAAGGCAAAAATAGCGCTGTTTCAAACTTCGATTGAGGTTGTAACTACAAGAAGCTGTCCACAACGAGGTGATTTGTCACCCTTTCTTTGGACTCCTGCGGTTGACCAACTTATAGTACAAAATGACAGAACTACGCATTGACACACTGGGTTATGCTGATGACCTTGTGATCATTGCGAGGGGATTTTGCCAAAGTACTTTATCGTCAATAATACAAAGAGCCCTAAACACCAAAAATCATTCATCATTGGTGTAGGGATAACAGTTTATCAGTTAATCAAGCAGCACTGCTAGCGCCGAGGTCAAACTTAGTGAACTTGAAGCTAGTGTAAGTCTGCGTGAACCGTTTAAACGCCCTGGGATGTAACAACAGGATCGTTTTAAGATGGGTCCCGGATCACGAGGTATTGTAGGCAACGAATTTGCCGACCAACTTGCACGGGAGGGCTCAAAGTGCACACAATTTAGACCAGAGCCATTTTGTGAAATCTCAAGAAGCCTAGCCCGATTTACCCTTGAAACTCTTTATCACAATAAATCACTTAAGATCTGGTCTGACACACCAGTATTAAAACATTCTAAAACCTCAATCCGGGCTTTTGATCGTAAATTCGCTTCAGAAGCCCTGGGATTAAGTAAAAATAAATTGCGCATTTTGGCAAGAGCGCTAACTGGACACTGTTGTCTTAGAAAGCACATGTCGATCCTGGGACTAAGCAACTCAAGGATGTGTCGGTTCTGTTCCATAACAGAAGAAATGCCTGTACACATCCTAACTGATTGCGGACCCTTAATGCGAAAACGTAACACTCATCTGAGAAACTATCTAATCCACCCAGAAGAAGTGAAATTGCTCACAGCTAAGCAACTCCTTCTATTCATTGAAGACATAGGGCTTAGCGGTGAACTATAGCCATAGCAGCGATCACAATAGATCTTCTAGGTCGCAGTGATACTGGTCTCTTTCCCTAGACCTGCATAGCTGCTCGCAAATAATAATAAAAAAATATATGAATGCCAAGAACAACTAAATAGGGTATGTAAATACAACAATGTGTTTCTGAAATGGATGAAGGGAAACTGTTGTTTTCAATTGCCTTGATTGTAAAGAATATAGATCCCTTGCAATCAGACTTTCCGATCTTCCAATCGGATCCTTCCACCTCTGGATCATGGCTGCTGTAAATTACTCAAAATGTCGGGAATATAAAATAAGTTAATATACATGATATAATTCATAAAAACTAGTTTTCTTTAAATTTATAGTGTTCACATAAACATAAGAAGACAATATAGTGTTAATTTATGAATTTTTTGATTGTTCTAAGATAGTGCATAAAGTTAAAACATAATATATCCATCAAAAATCCATTATACTGTCTATTCGAATGGTGGTGGCAAACAAAATATAATATAGCATGATAATTTTTAGGCTCTTTAACAGCAAGTATTGAAAATAGTACGCTTTGACAGTAAGAAAGGAACATTCCTTACCTGCTCCAATAATGATCACTTTTGGCCTCTGTTTTCCTTTTGGTGGTGAAGGAATTGGTGTGATGCGTTCATAAATGCCGTAATTGATAAAACCATGACGCTCCAAGAAGGCGTGAGTTCTCATAATTAAGGCTGGATCGCCATTATATGGTGGCTAAAATCAAATATTTCAACACATTAATAAAACTACATATATTAATAAAATCTGGGGTGTTCTGGTCCAACCATAAAATTTCTTTAATCTTCAAGCACCTATATAAATAAAACATCTAAAATTTTCAGGAGTTGAGCATCTTTCTGATACTCAACTCAAACTACACTCAACTACTACAACTACAACTCAAAATAATAAAAACTGTGGTGGCCAATCCTCCTACCAATTCATGGTAATTATAGGCGCCTACGCATCTACAATTCCCCTGCTGTTCCTGAGCAATGTAGTCACTTACCATCAGGTGAGCTACTTGTTTATTTACACCTGCTTATATAAAAAAATGACAAATGTATATTAAATCCATGAGTGAGGACAACAGTCTACAGTGGTTTTTGATGGGCTTTAAATCATGAATGAAAAATAGAGTTTTTAGGATGCTAAATTATTTGCAATTGAAATGGGAAATTTTTACTATAAATTCATTAAATTTAAACCCAGATTTCGAGAGCCAATAACTCATGGAAGTTATTTCTATAGTGATCCAGAAGAACACCACAGTCATGTTATTAACTCAAATTAACACTGACATTATACAATTACGTATTACTTGGCATTTATTGTAAAAGTTGCAAGCTGGTTGCAAGCTAGAGGTCAATCCATGCACATGACTACATATTTAATTATTCTATATTACTATAGACGGACACTATAGAGTTCAGTTTTAACAGTGGGATGAAAAATAAAAATGGCATTCATGAATTGAAAACTCACTTCCATTTTTTGAAGACAGATTTCTTGGGTTAGTTGTTTTTTTGGGTCTTCAAACCACAGCTTCAAAATGCGGTTTCTAATTTGCACAAAAGCATGACTAGAAGGCCCTTGCAGATCAGAGAAACATTCTGCTTCTAATGATGACATCTTGTCAAAAGGTAACCTCGACTGGAATGCAGCACCTTCCAAACTGAAACACATCATATAAAAAATACAAACACACTGTTGTTTCAGTGTAATAAAATAAATTTTATGGGTTTATAGTTTAGGTGGCTTGTTAGGGTTAAGCTTGAACCTATTACACTGTTTTTAGATGTCGGAAATGTTTTGAATTAATTATGATAAAAATAAATTTCGCTAAAAATTGTTTATAAGAAAATGCATATATATGGCAATTTGGTCTAATATTATGAAGTTGACATCTGATACTTGATTGTTTAATTTTATTTTCAATTTTGTAGGTTTGTCGGGGTAAAACTTGGACCTTTTACACTGGTTTTGGATTTTGGAAATGCCTTTTGAGTTAATTATGATAAAAATAAATTTTACTAAAAATTTAACAAAACTCAAATATCATAAAAAAGTTAATCACTCAAACCCAGATATCCATCACATCCATTGTAAGACTGGACTCATATACAACAAATTGAGTTGCAATATAGAGCAGTCAAGAGGATTTTCAAAACAAAATTATAACAATTCACATTACATTGTTTCATTTACCACTATCATAGCAGAGTTTAGGATAACTTGACCTATAGATAAGATTGGTTGAATCTGTTCTAAAACCAAATCAGCACACCCCTACTTCATGTTGTCTTGTCTGCGCTAGCCCTAGTGTTTTTGTAAAGGCACCATAGGTTCAGAGGGAGAGCAGTTCCCTGCTTGCCTTAGTTAATTGTAGGCACCTGTGTTAGCCATATCAGTTGAGGCTGCATCAATAAGCCAAATCTGCGGAGGTTAACATGGGTGCCTCTGATTTGCTACTTAAGGGTGAAGGGGCCGCACTTCTTGCAGAGCCGAAGCTGTTGCAGAAGTAACTTTGCGTCAATATTCTTATGTATAAAATGAGTTTATGATTTTACAAAAAAAAATAATTACTCATAAACTATACATTTCTGCAAAGGGGAAGGGTAGGGGGAGGGCTTCTCCTGCATCATTTCATCATCATCTACCCCTATCCCCTCTCACGCCCACACGCAAGTACCGAATTTCTATAGTTTTAACAATTTTATTACTATGCTGGTTTTAGGCATCTATGAAAAAAAATTCTGTGAAACATATTTTATATTTTGTTTTAAATTTTTTGGTATGGGTCATTGAAAGAACTATGTTTTAATTGAAACGACAAATGAATTAACAGTTCACCTGGTGGTAAATGTTTACTGCAGCGCATAGAAAGACACCTACAAAAGGCTCGCATCAATTAGGACCAAATTGGAGTGGCTCACAAACCTGTGATATTGGCTCTCTATTACATTCATACCAGCTCACAGCAGTGCAGACACTACAGAGCTACAGAAATAAGTAAAATTTTTAACCCAGATGGACTCCGCGCAGTAAGAGTGCTCTCATTTAATATTTATTTCCTCATATGTCATAACTAATAAAATAAATTAAAATTAAAACTGTCAAAACCATAAATAAATATCCTCCCACAAATTATAATTTTTTACAATTATTAAATCTAAAATATGAAAACAGTTTCTATAGGAGTGCAGTACATATAGTAATTACCTATTGAGCATTTCCTTATAGTTGACTTCCTCGATGTCATCACTCTTAACTTCTTCAAAAATTTTAGGCTTTTCTTCTTTCTTAGGCTCCTTAATGTCTGCTGTTTTGCTAGATAATGACTCCTGCCGACCACTAAATAAAGTAGGACTCAAAGATGCCATCTTGCTTTTTTCAGATTGATCTGATTCAGAATCTTCGTGTTTTAACTTCTCATCAAATTCACGATTTTCCACCTGAGATCGATAAACATAACCTAGGTATCATAATAAACAACTTTCAGTACAATTATAAATATTAATAATAAATAGATCCTATACCTTCACTCTCTTGCGGCGGCTCATGTTTTATTATTAAATTAAACAGTTAAATTTAACTGAATAAAATAAAATTAACAGACTCGCAATATCACTGATCAAAATTCAAAACAAACTATCGATAGTGAAGTACCCTATTGTTTACGTAATGTCATTGTGAAAGTCGACGATTCAAATATTGGTGTTCTCAAAAACGCTTGATATCTCGATTTTGACTCGGTATGCTTCAATAAACTCAATTGATATGTTTTTCATACATCTTATGACTTCTTAGTTTTACTTTTAAGCAAAACTTAAAAGAATAGCTAATATGGCTTTATAATTATTTTTGTAATAAATGCCCAATGCGTTTATCGGATACTATGGTCAAAAGTCTATTTATCGAAATATTGATTCTTAAACGTTATAAAATGGATCTTTTGAGTCAATTAGGACACTGAATATTTTACAAGCAGAAATAAATAAACCCTCCTAGAGAAGTGCTTTTTTATAACAAACTGTAATATACACATTGCAATTATGCGTATTTTATAACTTTTAGACTAGACATTTCGAGTTATCTTAATGAATTTGACGCTTGTACGATTTTAGTTCTAGAGTTTTTTTAAGATTATTGTCACTGATGTGTATTCCATTGGTGCAGTAATCGAACTAAAATAGTTTTGAATGAATAAATTATTACAAAAACCTAAAATCTCAACTGTATGATCTATTTTAAATTAAAATAGAAAACTTTCTTTAAATTATCTTTAAGAAATAACTTTTTTAACTTTGTGAAGATAATTTTACGAATATCAAATTTGGAATAATAAATAAAGAACAACAAAGCGCTGGGTATATTTCAAATGACACAAAAGCTAATTATTTCTTAAATTTACGCGAACACTACACATTTAATAAAACTATTTTTACGGATTTTGTCGCGTTCAATTACTATAATTATTTTTTTTATTATCACGACGTTTCGGGTACTTTACAGCACACAATCGGACCAAAAATCAATATTCAAAAACTGAAGGTAGCCGGACAAACTATGACATTGGGACGTCAAACATCTCAGTCCCCCCCCCCCACCGTGACCATGGGTGCTGTAAAGCACCTGAAACGTTGGAATAATAAAAAAAATTAAAGTAATTAAACGCGATAAAATCCGTATATAATAGTTTTATTCGACACAAAAGCTAACTCAAAACCATGCTCAATTTATTGTATGAGTATGCCTTCACGTATATGTATGCATCTAAAATAATTTGCAACTAACAACATGATGTTAGAGGCCGATAAAGAAAAAAAGAGCAAAGAAGTAGACTCATTAGCGAGAAACGAAGTGCCATACAGGCTTGTCAAATTGTTTTAAAAATATTTCAAAAATCAAAAGATCAAATTGAAAAGATATTTCGAAAATGAATGTTTCAAAGAAATATTTTATTGATAATCGATTGTTTGGTCTGTTATTACAATTGATTCAAAAATCGATTTTTCAAGGAGCATCGACATCCCTAAACTGCATGTCAACATATTATTTAATTTAATGTGGTATTGACTGTATGGCCTTCTGCCATAAACAAACATCAAACACTTAAAATTCCAATAACTATACATTGTTTAAATTAAAGTCACCCCCCACGTCTGTCCGTATACATGTTGAGGACTTATATCCAAAATTACTTACTATGAGAATTTTCATTTTGCTTCAACCTATACAATAACTGATTATTAATAATTTGTGCAAATTAGCTAATATTATGATGATATTTTTTTTTAATTAAGGCGTAATAAATCTAAATGAAAATGAAAGCTTGTATGGGGCGGGGCATGTGCTGCGTAAAGCAATAAATAGTAATTGTTCTTGTCAAATAGTGATAAAGAAAAGTCTGCGATACTATATTATGTACATCTACCAAGATTGATTCGCAAACACCATAAAGAAAATTAATGTAAATAATAGTTAAGTTATAGTTTACTCGAGTCATTTGTGTAATAAAATTAGTATTAGGAGCTTGAAGTTCGTGACAATAAAAACTGCCGATTGAATTACCAAAATTAACACTTTAATCACCGAACACCAATTAAAACTAAAAACACTAATAACTAATGACACTGATTCACTTTATTTCGCTCCGAAGCTTCGCTTGTCTCGCCAAATTCAAAACTGCCCCGATCGTGGCGTGCAGTGGGTTTAAATACACGTTTACACCGAAAAATCCAGAATATTCCCGTAGATACGGGCGCCGACCGACACCAATATCCCGAATACGGGCGCCGACCGACCAGACGTAGAAAGTTCGAGTGTGGGGCTTCTAGAAAGCTTAGTTCTTCAATTCGATACTAGATGGCGCTGTTGGTTGAAAGATTAGTCATGGCATTTTCTGGAAAGCTCTCCTCGCTCTGTTACCCGACACTAGATGGCGCTAGTGCCAGGTACCAGACGTCAACTTAGGCGCGCGACACTGCCCCCTCCTAAGATACGCTCGTCCCGAGCATTATCGGCCCCATAATAACGCGCCAGGCGATCCACATGGAAGATCTTAGGAGTCCCACTTGCGCCTTTCTATATCCGGTAGGTTACATCGTCGATCCTGGTCACAATCCGGTACGGGCCGTCCCATTTAGCTTGAAGCTTAGGAGATTTCCCTTTGCTGCGGACTGGATTATGCAACCACGCTAGTGAACCTCCGTCGAACCCTTTGTTGTTCATTTTGCGGTCGTACCGGGTTTTCATCTTTTCAGACATTTGCTGGCCCGATTGTCTGACGTGCTCATAAATGTCATTCATTTTGTTCCACAAGTCATTTGCATAATCGGTTATACTGCGTGGGGCATCAGATGGTATCCCTGTGATCAAGTCTGCAGGCAGCCGTAATTCTCTTCCAAAGTTTGCGAAAGCTGGTGTCACTGATGTACTTTCGTGAACAGCGCTTCGATATGACAACAAAAACTCTTCAACGTTCTACCATTCCATCAGATTGCGGGTGATAAGAAGTCGTTTTTGTTTTATGAGTAACCATAACTCGGCAAGTTTCCTGGAATATTTGAGACCCAAAATTCCTTCCTTGATCGCTGTGAATCTCTAAAGGTACTCCAAAACGACAGAAGACTTCATGAACTAGTTTATCTGCAACTGTTGAAGCTTCTTGATTTGGAATGGCGAAGACTTCTGGCCACTTAGTGAAGTAATCCATCACAACCATGAAATACTTGTTACCTCTTTCACTCTCCGGAAACGGCCCCGCCACGTCAATGGCTATTCTCTTCCATAGTGCATCAACATTGTACAACTTCAATGCACCTCTACTACGAGCCTGAGGTCCCTTTACAGCCGCACAACTTGTAAATTTGCGACACCAGTCCTCGACATCGTTTCGATAGTGGACCCAGTAAAACCGTTCTTGGATCTTCAGTAAAGTTCGTTTAACTCCCAGATGGCCTCCTGAATAATCATTATGTTACAGCTGTAGAACATCCGGTACTCTAGCTTTAGAGACGACCATTTGCAAATGACAGCTGTCTCCCCGAATATTTTCCTATTTACGGCACTGAACTCCATCCTGAAGCAGCAAGCTGTCCTATTGGGCCCAATAGCTTTTAGTGGTCGAACTCATCGTTGAGACGTCGCTCCACTTGGGCTTGGGAGCACTGGCCTTCATCCATTCCAGAATCGGCTTGATGTCCGGATCTTCCAGCTGTGCATGTAGTAACCTGTCCTTCCACTCGTTGCTGAGGTGGTCTGTCCTGAGCATCCTCACGAATACCACTTCCTTACTCTCTTGCCTAGTACAATGGTTGCAATCATCAGGACAAGGTCTTTTTGACAATGCATCTGCGTTGCCGTGAGATTTCCCGCTGCGATGTTCGATCTCAAAGTCTTATTCCTGCAGTAGTTCAACCAACCTCGCAACTTGTCCTTCTGGATTTTTAAACTGTAATAGCCATTTTAGTTCAGCATGGTCAGTTCGTAAGTGAAATTTCCGCCCCAGAAGATATTTGCTAAAATGCTGCAACGACTTTACCACAGCTAGCAATTCGCGTCTTGTGACACAATAGTTCCTTTCCGGTTTTGACAACGACTTACTGAAGTACGCTATCACAACCTCTCGGTCACCGTTCCGTTGAGACAACACACCGCCGAGTCCTGTATCACTTGCGTCTGTGTCAACTATAAATTCTTTACTCGCATCAGGGTATCTTAAAATAGGTGTTTTGCACAGACGGTCCTTGAGCTCCTGGAATGCAACTTTCATCCCAGCAGAAATGTTGCTTCTCCTCGGTTAGCTTATGCAGAGGTTTGGCTATATCTGCAAAGTTCTTCACAAATCGCCGGTAATATAAGCACAAACCCAAAAATGCTCTAGCCTTCGTCTTGTCTTTTGGAACGGGCCAATCCTTGACAGCGGCGATTTTCTCTGGATCCGTGCGGATACCTTCTTCCGATACTACATACCCCAAAAAGTTAACTTGCCGTTTGAATAGTGAACATTTCTTCGGATTCAACTTGAGGTTGGCACTTTGAATCTTCATGAGCACGCGTTCCAGGTTTTGAAGGTGTTCCTCAAACGTACGGCCTACGATGATGATGTCATCCAAGTAGACCAGACAGGCATCGCCAATTACACAACCCAAACGGCATTACTTTAAATTGCCACAGACCCTTTCCCGTCGAGAACGCAGTTTTCTTCTTGTCCTTAGGGTCAATTTCAACTTGCCAGTAGCCACTTTTTAGATCCAGCGTGCTAAACCACATTACTCTTGTAAGCATGTCCAGCGTGTCATCAATTCTTGGCAAGGGATAGCTGTCCTTCTTCGTAACGTCGTTCAGACGGCGGTAGTCAACACAAAACCGCATGCTGCCATCCTTCTTCTTTACCAGCACCACGGGTGAACACCATTGACTAGAGGAAGGTTCAATAACACCATCCTTCACTATTCCTTCAATCATGGTTTCCACTTCCTTTTCACGTGCTACCGGCAATCTTCTTGGCTGCTAACGGATAGGCAATTCTTCTCCTGTGTTTATTTTGTGAACTAAGCCAGTCTTTCCTATGTCAGCATCGTTTGATGAGAATACAATGGCATACTTGAGTAACAACTTCTTCGCCTGTTCCTGCAGCATCATCATCAGAACACCTAAGACAGGTGCTGCAAATGTAGGAGCTGCTGACGATCCAGCTTCCGTGGCTGGCACTTGGCCCTCTGACGTCTGTGGCGTTGCACCACCAAATCGTCTCTGGTGCATCTCCTGCTGTCGTTGACTTCGGGTACGGACACCCTCAATCTCGTCCTTAGGTAAAATCGGCATGATTTTATCCCACTACTGACACCAATTATTACGAGCTTGAGGTTCGTGACAATAAAAACTGCCGATTGAATTACCAAAATTTACACTTTTATTACCGAACACCAATTAAAACTTAAAAATACTACACTAATAATTAACCACGCTGATTCACTTTATTTCGCTCCGAAGCTTCGCTTGTCTCGCCAAATTCAATACTGCCCCGATCGTGGCATGCAGTGGGTTTAAATACACGTTTACACCGAAACATCCAGAATATTCCCATAGATACGAGCGCCGACCGACCAGACGTAGAAAGTTCGAGTGTGGGGCTTCTAGAAATCTTAGTTCCTCAATTCGATACTAGATGGCGCTGTTGGTTAAAAGATTAGTCATGGTATTTTCTGGAAAGCTCTCCTCGCTCTGTTACCCGACCCGATCCATTTTTGTAACGGTAACATTGATTTTTTTTAATATAAAATTGCAAATCAGTATTTTTTTTAACACTGAATTACTTTTCTGTCAAAAGCGCGTGCCACAAAGTGCATTACGCCTGTAGACAGAGAAACCTATAGACAAATTGACGCCTTCTTACGCATTCGCACACGAAAAAGATAGATTTATGCATACTTCTTGCATAGAAATGAGACAGAGCGGTGTGATTGTTTGTCCCTTTCTCCGTGCCGGATTTTTTGTTTAGAAAACTACGCTTTAATGATTTCTTAAATTTACGCGAACACTACACATTGAATAAAACTATTATTTACGGATTTTATCGCGTTTAATATCTTTAATTTATTTTTATTATTATCCCGACGTTTCGGGTGCTTTACAGCGCCCATGGTCACGGGGGGGACTGAGATGTTTGACGTCCCAATGTCATAGTTAGTCCGGCTACCTTCAGTTTTTTAATATTAATTTTTGGTCCGATTTACGCAAAACGAGCTTATAGTATCATGAAGTCTTGCAGTGGTATGCTTGGGGTTGGGTTTAATTTTGTTGATTATAGGATCCCAAGCAGATGGTAGCACCCAACCATCTTCTCTATTGAAATTTGGATGTTTTTTAATTTCAATAGCCTCGCGTATCATCCTTGGTAGGAATCGGTGTTCTTTTGCGAGAATTTGTGGTTTATCAAATCTAATGTAATGGTGGGGACGATCTTGAACATGTTCGCAGACTGCAGACTTCCCGGAGCGTCGGTGCTTCACATCAGCTATATGTTCCTTCACGCGGGTTTTTATAGATCTCTTTGTTTGACCTATGTAAGAGAGACCACATTCACAATCTAGCTTGTACACACCTGCATCTTGTAGAGGAATATTACATTTGATGGATGGTAAAAATTGACTAATCTTCTTCAGCGGCTTGTAGTATGTCTTAATGGACGCTCGCTTCAAGATGTAGCCAATCTTGTCCGTGACTCCTCCAACATTTTACAACAGTTAGCTACCGTGGGTAAATCTTTGTTTCAGAGAGCACGAGGGATCTGTGACAGAAACGGTACAACCAATCACAAACAATTGACGGAACCTTATTGACTCGTGATTGGTGTGAATTGTGAATGAGTCGTAAACCGACCGAATCCCGAACAAAACATACTTCAAGCCACTGAAGAAGATTAGTCAATTTTTACCATCCATCAAATGTAATATTCCTCTACAAGATGCAGGTGTGTACAAGCTAGATTGTGAATGTGGTCTCTCTTACATAGGTCAAACAAAGAGATCTATAAAAACCCGCGTGAAGGAACATATAGCTGATGTGAAGCACCGACGCTCCGGGAAGTCTGCAGTCTGCGAACATGTTCAAGATCGTCCCCACCATTACATTAGATTTGATAAACCACAAATTCTCGCAAAAGAACACCGATTCCTACCAAGGATGATACGCGAGGCTATTGAAATTAAAAAACATCCAAATTTCAATAGAGAAGATGGTTGGGTGCTACCATCTGCTTGGGATCCTATAATCAACAAAATTAAACCCAAACCCAAGCATACCACTGCAAGACTTCGTGATACTATAAGCTCGTTTTGCGTAAATCGGACCAAAAATTAATATTAAAAAACTGAAGGTAGCCGGACTAACTATGACATTGGGACGTCAAACATCTCAGTCCCCCCCCCGTGACCATGGGCGCTGTAAAGCACCCGAAACGTCGGGATAATAATAAAAATAAATTAAAGATATTAAACGCGATAAAATCCGTAAATAATAGTTTTATTCAAAACTACGCTTTGCTAAACAACTTTTACAGTTCGTAGCGATCTAAGGAGTTTACAAGTTGATTTAAGTGAGAAAAAAGTGTTTAGTGAACTTAAGGTTAGTGAATCTTGTTCAGTTCAGTTCTTAGAACAATTAAATTTGTTATCTAAATATGTTTAAAAGTCATTAAAACTAAAACTGTTATCGTCCTTTCTCACTCGAGGCCACGCTAATCATTAGTCTATAGGTTTCTTTGTCTACGATTACGCGTGGGTTTTGATTGGCAATTATTGTGCTGTTGTTATAGTCAATCAAATCTAAGAAATACATTTTGACAGCTGTCATACTTATTGCACCAAGCATGCAAACCAAAAAATGGGAACGTAAAATATTCGATTCTTAAAAAAATCGATATCGATTATTTAGAGTTGGTAGTCATTTACAGTTTGGTTTGTATAATACCAGAATGTATTAAAAACCGATAATTATATCACAAGATTTATCAGTTTCTTCGTATTTGTTGTTACTGCTTATTTCTAAAGGCACAATTATAAAAATTTAAGATTGAAACTAGATTAAAAATGTTGAGCTGTCGTTGTTTAGATAAATTTTTATTTGATCAGTAATATTAATGTATCTTTCAAAATCAGTTTTTTAGTTTTTTCTACCAATTTTGCCCAATCATCCTTTGTGACATGGGCACATGCTTCAACGAATATAGAAGAAATAGTCCAAAAAGTTAAAGCCGAGTCACAAAATAAGAAAACAAACACAAAATCACAAAATTACGCACAGTGAGCTCCCGAAATGGCGGGAGATTGAAATTACGTTGTGGTTTTTTCAGCGCGGCCTTGTATATGAGTTTTTCTGCCTACACAAATTTACGTTAACAAAGTAAAAAACAAAACTTGTTTTATTCATGATTCATGTAATTTAATAAATAAAAAAAAATTAAACAATAATACATTAAAAAAAATAAATTTGATTACTTCATACTTCTTAATGATAACTTCATAATTCTTCGGATTTACGTAAAAAGTTATTTTAAATCGTGTGAGTACGCTTGTGCAAAGTTATTGCGGAATGGTTAATGTGAAATGTCAAAAGGTATTTCTTAGATTTGGTCTTTACTATAGAAAATTTTGGTTGACTATAGTAATTTTCACAAAATGGCGTCACACAGTCGGTAAGTAAAATTTATTTATGTTTATTGTTAAATTGTGTATTTTTTTGCAAATAATAATTGATTTTACTGTTATTTATAATATCTAATAGTAAAATGAATAAGTGTGTTGAGTATTTACGAGTATTGTACATGACATGTTTTCCGATACTGTAGATAGATAGATATATGTTTTCTGATACTATAGAGAACATATCACTCTCTTAACAATGTACGAATACATTAGGCTCATTTTGATTTATTGTTTGCTTTTTTGTTTTAGGTTGACGGTAAATGACATAATTTTGTATTTAGAAGATGATGATGATGTACTGGAAGCTGACGTATATATAACTCCCCCGGAAAATTTTGATAAGAGGGACGAAGAGAGTGGTAATGAAGAATCTACTGATATCAACTGCTTGTCTCGGCATCAGTTATTAGCAGCCCAACTTAGAGTCAAGGTATCTGTAGCGGGGCGGATAGCCGAAATACATCAGCAAGAATCCCAAGAGGAACAGCCCACCCCAAGCACTTCATAAAACCCACCCCCTCAAAAACAAAGTTAGCGTACGATTTCAAGGAAATGGCGAAATGTGGATATTGCACAAAAAGCAGAAAAAGAATGGACACCTCTCAGTTTCTTGGACGATTTTGATAATCCACTAGAATTTTTTTGAGTTGTTTTATGATGAAGAGGTAATAGAACTCTTGCTGTCATAGACTGAACAAAATGCAAAGCAGAAAGGACACGTCAATTTCAAAGTTAGTTCTGACGAAATCAAGCGATTCATAGGTATCCTATTATTGTCTGGCTACAATGGTGTTGCTCGATACAGAATATATTGGGAGCAAAGCATTGACTGTTATAATCCTGATGCAACAGCAACAGTTTGTATGTCAAGAAATAGGTTTGAAGAACTACTACGATTTTATCACGCATGTGATAACACTGACCTACAGCCAGGAGACAAATTTTGTAAGGTACGCCCTTTTTTGGATCTCCTCAATCGAAGATGGCTCAAATATTTTTCAGGCGACAGAAATTTGAGTATAGATGAGTCCACCATCGTCCCATACTTTGGAAAACATCCCACTAAATAACATATTCATAGTAAGCCTATTAGATTTGGCTTCAAAGTATGGGCTGTTTGTACTCGGTTGAATTACCTAATTTATGGAGAATCACATCAAGGAGCTAGCACCGGAAACACACATCCATCCTTTGGAGTTGGCTGATCTGTAAGTTCTTGATTTGATATCAAAACTTCCACCTGGTAATTACAGCTTCTACATGACAATTTTTTACCTCATTACCTTTGTTGGCGGAAATTAAATCTTTAGGTCACGATGCCACTGGAACCATTCTGGGAAATAGAGTAGAAAATGCACCGGCAAATGATTCAAAAGACATGAAAAAAATGAAAAGAGGTTCATAAAATCAAACCACAGATGTGTTATCAGATATCATGTTAGTAAGATACAACGATAATAAAATCGTAACAATAGCGTCAACTAAGTGTGAAGTGGGACCAGTAGGGAAAGTAAAAAGATGGTGCGATAAACAGAAGAAAGAAGTGGACCAGCCACGCTGCTTCATAAATTATAACAAATATATGGAAGGTGTCGATCGATTAGATCAAAATATTGCCTGTTATAGAATCGGCATAAGGTTGAAGAGATGGTACTGGCAACTACTCATGCTTCCTCTCAACGTAAGTATAAACAATGATTACCAGGTGTATAGGTTATCGCCAACTGCTAAGGAAAAAGATGCCTATGACCTATTGTTCTTCACTAAGTATGTGGTGCAGTCGTACTATATAACAAAATCCGTGATGAATAACAGCACATCATCCAACGGCACGATAACAAAAGCTAAGCATGTATCCTAATCTGCATTAGCTGTCATAAAACGGGTCCCTTCAAGCATTCGATTAGATCGAAAGGACCACTACATAGTGGATAACGGCGAGCAGAAGCCGATGTGGATTGTGTCATAAAAATACTACGAAATAATGTGGTAAATGTGTGGTTGCTTTGCATGCTAAATGCTCAGAAGTATTTCATACAGCCCCGTAATTTTACAAAATTTAACCTATTTGTAATATTTTTTAATAAACTTACCTAAACTACTTCTTATTAAGCTTTTATTTGGTCTCATTTACTTTCTCTCTACAAAGTAAATCATCAGCATATATTCCCAATGTTCCATTATTGAATTGGTATTGTAATTCAAAAGGTCAATGGTCGATTTTTTTTTTAATTTTATAAATGTGTTACTTTGTCCTATAGTATAATCCTATGTAAATATTTTAAAAAATGGGATAAGAATTTATAGTGTTGGTAAGATATGAGTTAATCCCAAATGTACTGGTCATGTAGATAATTTTTTACGAGAGTTTTTCGTATGTAAAATCTTCTCAGTTTACCAGTTGACAGACTTTGGGTGTGTTAAGAAAATATATGAAATATCAAAATGAGGTATCCACAGAGTATTTTTTTATACCTGTAGGTATCTTAGCAACGTTTACTTGTTGATTGTCACGTTTCTATAAAAAAGCTTCTATTAACTTTTTCTTATATTGTTTATATACAACTAATGTATATGTTTTAAATCTTAACATGGTAGCAGATCGAAAAAAAAGAAATTATATTTTGTGATACAAAAGTTCTAAATCTAGGATATAAATTTGGTCGAAACCCAAAATTCCCATAACGTATTCTGAACCTTATTTGAAACTTTTGAAGATGGATAAATCAATAGTTGAAGCGTCAAAGATACAGGTAGGATACCTAGATTCTGAGAACTCGAAAACGTGGAAATATTAAAATTCTCATGCTTAGAGCTATACTCGGAGCAATGGATATCATTAAACTCTGTAAACGATATAAGCCCATGCTAACGGACACAGCTACAGCTGAAGAGAATCAGAAACATGAGAATGAATTAAAAAGAGTTTGTGAATGTAGATAGTACAATCCTAATAATATTTACTACAAACTTGTTTGAAGAAACAATGCAGCAAGTCATGCGTTTCACTACTTCTAAAGAGATGTGGGATGAATTAAACTATCTTTACAATGGAGAAACAGAAGACAAAAGTTACGAACTCTGCCTTGATTTCTTGGAATATCAAAAGGAAACCAACCACAATATGGCTGCCCATATATCGACTCTAAAGAATATTTGGTGCGAATAAAACAAAAATTTAGAGTCAGCAGATAAGATAAGATAAGAAGAATATTTTACATACCCCTAGTATGTAAAATATTCTTCTTATCTTATCTCCTCGGCCCATCATATCCATCGCCCCTAAAATTACAGTTTAGGTCCAACGCGAATCGGTCGACAGTGGTGCGCGCGCAGGACAGATTTGCCTGTCATAAATATGTCTAGTTGCGTGGTAAAAGAATACAAAAATTACGATACAATGATTTAAAAAAAAACATGGGATATCGTATCGTCGGTAAATAACCTTATATTAATTTTGTTACAATTAAATTATTATATAAACGCATTTTTAAAGTTTTATTTTACAAATAGTTTCGTTACGTTACCAAGATGAGGCCAGGGTTGGATTCAGACTCTCAAAAATATTGTATATGGAAAATAAAATTATACTATTTTTAAAAAAATTATATCACGTTTGACGTTTCATGTTTCTTTTTCCCATGTGCCGGATTTTGGCGACACGCGTCTAGTTTATCTAAACATTTCGTTTTTGACGGTTTTATTTTTATTTATGTTTAATTATTGTCTAAAGACCTTTGTGTAAGCTAAATTTTGAATATTGGTACCTAATATATTTTAATATTCATAAGGGTAAAACGAAAAGAGTTCAAAAGAAACCATATCTGCTTAATTGAATCTGAAAATCTGATTCATAAAATATTTTGGAATTCTGTTTTTAAACCGATTTCTTCTGGAGCATAGAGTTTTTATCATTGTAGCCCTCGCATCAAGGATGCAACATAAATGCATTGATCGAGCATCGATTGACCAGAAAGGGAGCTAATTCTAATTTTATTAAAAAAAACGCGGTGCTCATGTACAATACAGAAATTCTCGAGGGTAGGGTTAATATTAAAATGTAAAAGGACCCAATAATAATACAAGTCGACCTTTAGGTTGTCATCATTACAGCCCTTCACAAGTCCACTGCTGAACATAGGCCTCCCCCAAGTTATGCCACAAAGCTTGGTCCTGAGCCACCTGCATCCATCGACTTCCTGCATGTCTTACCAGGTCGTCACTCCATCTAGTGGGGGGTCGCCCTACACTTCGCCTACTGGTACGAGGCTGCCACTCGAGAACCTTTTTACCCCAACGGTTGTCGGTTCTTCGAGCTATATGGCCGGCCCATTGTCACTTCAGCTTACTAATCCGTAGGGCTATGTCGGTCACTCTGGTTTTACTGTGGATATCCTCATTTGAGTCTATCACGCAGAGAAACTCCGAGCATAGCCCTCTCCATAGCTCGCTGAGCGACTTTGAGCGTCCTCATACGGCCAACAGTGACCACGTCTCGGTTCCGTAGGTGGCAACACGCACTGGTTGTACAACTTAGTTTTCAGGTTTTGAGGTATACCTGACGAGAAGATGCGTCGTAATTTCCCTAACGCTACCCAGCTGAGTTGAATCCATCGATTGACCTCTCGGTCCAATTGGACTTACCTATTCGGACTATTTGTCCCAGGTAAACGTATTCGTCAACAAATTCGAGCTTAGTGCTCCCAACAACTACCGGCATAGGTGTGACATGGACATTAAACATGATCTTTGTTTTGTCTATGTTCATCTTAAGACCTATCCGTTGGGCGACACTATTGAGGTCATTGAGCATAGTGCTTAAGTCTTCCGGCGATTCTGCCATAAGGACTATATCATCAGCAAATCGAAGATGAGTGATGTACTCGCCATTGATGTTAATACCATATCTTTTTCAGTCCAGTAGCTTGAAAACGTCTTCCAATGCAGCGGTGAAGAGTTGTCTTACACCTCTCTGCAGTTGGATAGGTTTCGTACTCTGGTTCTGTACTCGGATAGCCATCGTAGCTATACTGTACAAACACTTCAGCACTTCGATATATCGACAGTCAACTTGGCACCGCTGAAGAGACTGGAGCACCGCCCAAATTTCTTCTTTCGAGACTTCTGTACAATTTGCCGAAGGGTATGTATGTAGTCTATGGTACTAAAGCCTTTTCGGAAATCGGCTTGTTCGGGAGGCTGGAAGTCGTCGAGTCTGCGTGCGAGACGATTCGTAATGACTCTCGAAAACAGCACGTAGACGCGGCTCAGAAGGGATATCGGTCTGTAGTTATTCAAGAGGGCGTTGTCACCTTTCTTGAAGAACAAGACCACCGCACTTCTGATCAATGCCTCCGGAGTAGTACCATCGTGGAGGACGGAATTGAAGAGCTTCTGAAAGGCTTGAAGTACTGGTGTTCCACCCGCTTTTAGAAGCTCCGGTGTAATTCCATCCTCGCCTGGGGCTCTGTCGTTTTTAAAGTGCAGGAGAGCCATTCTAATCTCGCT